CCGCTTTAATTCACCTCCTAAAACTTCACAAATTTACTTTTTGTTTTTTGTTTAGCTTCATCTGGTTCTTTGTCAATTGAATAGTTTCCAAATTCGTTTGTAAAGTTGACAGGTTAGTCAAACTACCAATATTAATTATGTAGTTATTTTGGGGTGCAGGTTTTGCTGTTTGCTGTCTTTATTTTTTATATGTTAAAAAATGGGTACCACTGATGGCAACCAAAGGCCAAGAATTGGCTGCCAATGTTTCAAAATGGCTGCCAATGGCACCCTGGTAATCATTACTGTCGAGCCCTGCTAACTAACCAAATAATTACCCTATGTAACACTTAGGGCTGCTCTTAATGGTTATTTTCATTACTGACTAATCTGCTGATTGCTGTCTTGATTAGCGATCAACCTTTAGTATGTAAAACGTCCGTCACAGTCTCCCAGAGTCTTCAAACGTCTCGTTTTGTCTGACCAACAGTCCAATAATCTAAAGATACTCTGTTAACGATGAAACTGAGAAAAGCAGCAAATATTCTCAGTATAGGGGCTTTATCCAGGGTTTTTTTTGTCCGTTTTGTTTGAAAACATTAACTCATCAATTATAATTATTATTATTTGCCTATTGTTTTTTTGTTGATCAATTAACTGATTATTGTTTCAGCTTTACTTACATCATAACCAGAGCTGAAAACAGACCATAACAGGACTAATTTACATAAAAACAATGGCATTTATGTTGTTCTATAAATCTAAAATACATTAAATGCATGAATATCGACCCAAAAATGTTGTTCAATTTGACATTCTGTTAAATTGTAGTGCTGCTTGCAATACGTTATTTAATAATGTGTTAAAACTTTTGTAGAAAGCGGGAGCGAGTTTGTGCCTGAGAGTTTCCAGCATTGCTATAATTATTCTGTTTTAATGGGATGTTGAGTTCTCTCGGCAAAAAAATGTGGTTAACAGTCACATTTATTGGAACATTAGTAGTATTAATATAGTAGTAGTAGTAGTAATATATTAAGTACTTGTAGTGGATTAAAAAGAGAGAACGCTTAAATATGCCAAAAGGTTATCTACTTGTCACCACCAGTTTACAGATATCTGGGGAGGGGGCCAACTTCTCTTCATCCGTCATTTATCATGCTTGACAGGCTTCTCCTCTAAACAGGCATTATGTGTTCATATGCTTGAATTTGACCGACCACATAACTTCTTTATGGGACAATCGCAGGCAGTCAGTGAAAAGTACGCCCTGTTCCAGTGGCCATAAGTATAAATCATCAACCATTTGGTCATTAATTCAGACATTTCTTCTCCTCTTTAGCCCTCCGACTGCAACCGGTTTGTTCTGAGCAGACCGCAAACTGGCTCGGGTCAAATCATCAGGTCTGCTCCAATCATATGTGCGAGCCAATTTAGCATTTCCAGGATGATAAAGACATGAATGAACGGCAGACCAGGGTTCATTAGAGGGTTTGGATTTTGGTTTTGACCAGTGTCAGGCATGAAACAGATACGTGTCCTATTAGACATGAAACAGACGGGAGAATCAGACCAACTACAAATCCGTTTTCAGTGACTATATTCCAGATACAGAACATAAATCTACAATTCCCCGCCATTATAATGTCACCATTAATCACCATTAATCTCAGAGATCAACATTTCCTCCCGCTGGGCTCAGTAACTGTAAAACCTGAAAGGTTAAATTAAGTGGCGTCCGTAGTGGCGGCAGCACAGCAGGTTCAGACACGCTCGCACCAGCCCAGGGGTCCCACGCCTCCCAGGCCCTCTCATTAAAGCTAAAAGAGGATCTCTCTGGCACAGGCCCCTCTTTGTCCACGGCCTGGATGCCATGACTGTTGTGGGAAAAAAAAAAATGAATGAAATGAACGAAGGCTGGTTGGTCACTTGGCTGTTCAGTTGGATTGGATGCCTCAGGGGCTTTCTGGAATTGCTGACCAAGCTATGAAGTGGTACATGGTTTCAAGGTTTCTTCCTGGAAACAGAGCACTAATTGTTTTTTTACTCAACAACAGGGCTGAACAGTTAATTTAAATATTATCGCAGTATGAGCAAATGTAATGTGTATATCGCAGGAGCTGCAAAACCTGCAAAAATCACATCATATTTTCAGATATTTTTCCGTGAAAATAAAAAGCAAAAATTACTAATCCCACTGAAATCGCCACTTAAATAGATTTTTCCCCATATAATGCAGCCTTCCTCATCAGTTAGCCACTTTTTGTCATGAACCCTAAGGCAGGTACTGTTGTCTTTCTCAGCTGCTTTTGTTCTTTACATTATTTAAGGTGGTGTCTGCACACAACCAGCGCAGATGCAGAATCAGGCTTTAAACTTTACCCTAGAATGAGCTGTTCATATCTACATAGGGAGCGGGTCCTTGTCCATGGAGTCCACCATGTTGCAGCGTCATGTTTCACTGGCTCTAGATAGGGGTGTTCGCGTTTTCTTCTCGACCACCATCGCATGAGGTCCCTCAACAACGAGCTGAAAAGTGTCAGAAAGACACTGATTTTTGACATGAAACTGCTTCATTCAGTCAAGCTAAGTGGAGCTACAGTTACAGCTCGACTAGGCCTTTTAATTGGACCGCTGTCCTTGTCCCAGTATACAAGCACGGGAGGGGAATCGTTTAATTGACTGTAGCATGTCTGATTCCGTTAAGATAGATGGAGATCAGACGTTGCGCTAGATTTTTTCGTCGCCGGTCATTTTAACCGACAGGGTCATAAAAATCCGGTCATAATCTATTTTTACCGGTCATTTTAATTTTAATTTTTAAATGATAATAAAGATATTCAAAGACATTTAGTTTTCATTCGTTCGTTTTTAACAAATCCAACAAGCAAGTTATAAAGTGTGCATTAATAAGGACATGAACGAAAAGATGAACAGACATCCACACACCCATGCCATTAGGCTTCGCCCTGGACACACCGGACGGCACTAACGCGTCCGGTGTGTCCAGGGCGTTATGTAGTTATGCCTGTAGGCTCGGTGACACAAAATTAAAATTGTAATGAAGTGATTATGGTATTGAAAAATGTGTTCGGTTATGCACTGTTGTGTTATTTTAAATTATAAACACGGTATTTTCTCCTCACGTTCCTCAGTTTTTATTTTGAAAATTGGCCAGATTCTCTCGTCTTTTCTGTGTCCGACTTCCTGTTTGGTACGATCCGCTCGATCCAGCTTGACAGAAGCGCTTGCAGCTCCCGTGAAAAATAGACCAGACGCCGAACTGAAGCACTGCCTCTACTCCGCGGGCGCTCCGCTCTGCTCAGCGGCCTGTGTGGACAGTCAGATAGGTTAACATGGGCGCTGACTGAAAACTGCCTCCGCTGCTGGGCGCTGCGCTTCGGTTCCGCATCTGGTGTGTCCAGGGCGTTATGTCAACAACGCTACATGAAGCAGATGAATGACTTTTTCTCTGCAGTGTGAAAACGGCAGCCACTTAAACCACTGACTGTGCACTCCGCCGCCAAGTGGGCAGGGGTGGTAATTGCAACCGGTCAAAATGACCGACGGTCTTCAGATTTCAGATTTCATTGTTGTAAAAAAAACGGTCATTGACCGAGAATATCCGGTTAACGTGACCCCTGGTGGAGATATGCCCCCTTTCAGCTTGTTAGTATTGGACCTTTTTCCTGTTGACCTATTACGTCACAGACCAAACAATGGACAAACAAGTTAGCTACAGTTAGCTAGCAGCTAACTGGTACCATGGTGGACAACTTTACAGCTCTGTACATTTGGTCCGTCCAAAAAGTCACAGCTCTGGATGTAGATTTCTCCATGTTGTTATTGGCTTCTTCTTCTGTTACACATTTAATGCTATTCAACTTTCGGGTCAAAGCCCGGGACGGAAACTGTGGAGCATGCTCAGGCCAGTTTGGGTCTGATTGACTGTATACATGCAGGAGTCACATGATCTGGGTTAGTCCCACTTTGAGAAAGTACGATTTCAGTCGGACTAACATGTTTACATGTGTTGTAAAAGTCCAGTTTTATTCGGACTGACACAATGAATTGATTTTCTCTAGTGTCATTTAAACGTACTGTTTTTTAACAGTTTAAATCACTGTCTTCCATCAAAATAAGCTTAAAACTCTTAATATGGCACTGAAATATACTGGAATCACTTGACCTTACATCTGTACAGAAAAATATTTTTATTGCACCACAGATAGGACACACATCTTTTTTTGCGAGCATTCTTTTTAGTGAAAAACAAAATCAAACAATCTTAAACATCCAGGCCTCCCAACTATTTGAAATGATTGCTCACTGTGTTTCCAACAGTTCTTTAGCCATCAAACATTGGTGTTTTGTAGCAACCTGTTGCTTTTTTCCGGCAGGGATAGTTGCACAAAAAAGAGGTTTTGTGCTGAGACATCGCTGCGTTTCCTTCCAGGATAATGTCACGAAAAATTGTTGTTTTTTACTGAGACAACAGTGGGTTTCCTGCCAAAAAGCATCTATTTTAACCAAGATATCACTGTGTTTCTTGCAGGCATAATGGCTCAAAAACTGGTTGTTTTGCTGTGTTTCCATTGCTCCCAAAATCGGGTATTATAAGCCAAAACGTGCTCTGTTCTTAACCATAACCAAGTGTTCTTTGTGCCAAAACCGAACCATACAGTGTTGTCATGTATCTGTGGTTTGCATAGAAGTACAATGCCAGCATTTCTTCTGGCGACTGGGTCGATATCTTTCAATATGAAATATGTCAGTGCTTGATTCTGATCTTTTACGTATTTTGAGGTTTGTACATATACAGCATGTTTGCGCAGCAGTTTCGTGTGGTGCTGCTGGACGTAACATTTACAATAACCCCACCACAACTAACTTCTCTCGACGTCTTTTATCGAATACGCAGTAAAAAAGTTGATTGTTTCTTCTCTAATCATAAATAATTCCACTAGATCATTGTCCCTGGTCTAGATAAAGTCTTTATCTTGCGTCTTTTCTTTGTCTTTCAGGGTCATGGCCACCAGATTCACAACGGTGGGGTCCAGTACGCCCCCGAGGCTTTGGAGCAGCAGAACCAGGTCCAGAGTCTCCTGCCTGAGCCCCACAACCACCAGAGGAGGTGGTCCCACCCACAGCACCGCTCCGTTGGTGTCCTCCCTCAGCCTGAGCCTGAGGAGGAGACCAAACCCTTCATCCTGGATCTCAAGAACTTTCCAGACCTGGCCAATGCTGACATCAACTCGCAGAACCCCAACATTCAGGTGAGTCTGGAGAGGTGGAGTGACACATATACATACAAGAACAAGCTCTTACAGCACAAAGCAATGCTGCATCCATACAGTAACCAATAGATAGCCAGTTATGCGTTAAAATTAAACCACTGATGCAAGGAGAACCAGAGTTCTTTGTCTTTTATTGTTTAAAATGATTTATTTCTTTAATGTGTAACAAAATCTCTCGGTCTAATCTTAGCGACGAGGCTGCGTCTCTTTGTGCTACTATTAAATTAAAGTGTAGTAAAGAGAAACAGGCTCTGTAATCATAAGTGTTAGCCATTAAGTCCTCATCATCTCCTTCTAAACTGACCCAAAAAGTTCTTCTGTTTAACTTATCTCAGGGCAGTTAACTTCTCCAACTCTGGTCATTGTAATCAGGATGTGGTTAGAGGGACATAATGATGCCGGCTCGTGTCTACATCAAGCTCAGAAACCGATGAAACGTCTGATGAGTTTTTCATGTAGCAGCATATAGACCAGATGTACCATACTCTGACCGTAAGATATATCCAGCTAAGACAAATGAAAGCATTTCCAATCATCATATGTCTTTCCTAACTGTGAAATTAATCCCACAACAGTTAGAGAAAGGTTTCCCCTGTAGTCTCGCCTGGTCTTCACATCAGCTGAAATGGGCCCTTGGAAGTACTGTAGCATCTAGGATGAGTCATATCGAGGTAATGAGAGGTAGTTATCCAGAATAAAAGCTCACATTCTCTCCCTGAGACGATCGTTTGGTTGGCTGGATGCTCATGCTCACGTCTGGCTGGCTGAATCAGACGCGGGGAGCGGGATCGCTTGATGAAAAAATTCTCCACCGATTTGAGTCAGTTGATTTCTTGTGAGGAGCTCGTTACTCGGGCTGCACAAAAAGTATTGTGGGAACTTTTTGTGACAACACAGCAACACTTGCAATGGCTTGTTGTTTGTCAGTGTCTTCTACTCGCTGTCAGGGCCGCTGCTGGTCATTTGGGTCCCCTAATTGCTTTGTTGTGGTGTTTTCATAATCAGCGTAACATTCTTGTTAAAATAACTATAAATAGATGATAAGAAAAACTGAACTGTCCCATTACTCACACACAGTGTCCGAAATTAACTTTGACTCATCAGCCAAGGAGACTGGTGGATGAAAACATCCACCGGCCAAATTAATGTATCGCCTTTTTCTGTCACATATGGATTTATTTCAATTAAATTATTGAGATAATAAGTTATTATGTTGAACAGAAACTTAAAGAAAAGGCTAGAGCAAAATTCAAAGCAATGTTTTTTAAGTACAACATTTACCCACCAGTGTGGCAGATAGCCCCCGGAGATTTGCTCGCCACAGAAAACCTACCCACATTGCTGCTCAAACATAACAGAAGAAAAGTCGCAAAACATTACAAACTTGAACAGCAACAGGCATTTTTCAGATGCTGCAGGAGGCTCTGACACACACATCTGCATTCCCTGGCTGTTAATTCAGTCATTATATGACAGCGTCTGAGTGAGTTCACTTAGACGTTCCTGTCCAGTTGTTAAATGCAGGTGTATTTTAATGAGCTTCAGTTTCGAAAAACTTTGCTCAGCAGAGACAACTGACTCTATTAATAACTATAATAATAACCTAAAAGCGTGAGCACACCACTCAGCGAGTTTGCTGAACCCAGCGATGAGTGCAGCTCAAACGTGTCTGAGGCCCTCTCAGACACAATTTGGTTTGAGCTGCAGGAAGGGGCCGGAAGAGTTGATGCAGTACGTATGATTATGATTATGATTAATGATGATCATATTGGGCTGTTGGGCGCGTGATGTGTGTGCCCATAGCTGTGGCGCTGTTCATTGTGAAGTCATTTCTAAGTTTGGTTTGCCATTTACACTGCAATTTGTAGTCTTGGTTTGCGAGTTTAAACTTTTGACTGCAACTCTGATTTCTCATATGAAGACATAACATTTTGGGTTTGCAAAATTGCGCTTTAAGCCCATTTCAAACGAAAGGTTCATGACGAGACGAAACCATTTAACGTTTAACCATAAAACGTTTCAGAGAAAAGTTGCAGCGGTGTGAAGTGGCCAGTCTCAGCTCGACTCAAGCCGGCTGATGGTGTCACCTGCGACTCAGCTTGTCAAATCGCCGATAATAACAAGCTGCAGTATTGCTAATTAGAACGTACTCGTCTAAGGACACTTGGACTTTGTTATTGTCTCGTTTGAAGACATTAGAACTTGAACAGATCACACTGCTTTGTTGCATTGTTTGCAATTTTGTTTTTGCGCAGCCATGTTCAGGCACTGAAATGAAGAGTTTTAATCTTGAACAGTGACCCCTAATCCTTAAGGCCTGGACACACCAAACCAACATCAAAGAACTAGCAGCAACAAAGTCCGATTACTTTGTCGCCTCACATGTGAAGACTACAGCCAATGGCAACTAGCTCAAACATTCTGCGGCTACAAGAGAGGAAATAACTCTCTATACCAGCGGCAATCTGCATTCATCATTTAAAAAAGGAAAACCTGAAAGACCGATAGGACAGAATCAAGATGCTAGTTTGGTGGTTAGCACATTAAAAACACAACCTGATGTTTAAAGAACAAACAATATTTATGGTGCGCCAGTGAACAATAACACAAACCATTGGAAAACATTCCTGCTAAAGAGCTCAATGGCGAACAAGAAAATCTTTCAGAATATAATAAATTTATTCCAGTCTCACACCCTCCTGATTTTCAGCCGTTTGCTTTCTTCACTTCCGTTTCTCTTCTCGAGTTAAACTGCTAATCAGAGTGATTTAATTCACTGATGTTCTGCTGCCAATTCAACATGCTGGATCGTCCAACAAGGGCGGACAAGGACCAAGTGGTGCAGGGCGAGAGACGCTCACCGACAGCCCGACATGGACCAATGATCGACCGTCAGCTTGGTGTGTCAGGGCATAGTCATGTTCAGGCAGCTAAATAAACAGTTTTCTACTTTACTACACATTGACTATTAAAACTTAACCCATTGTCCCCATATGAGGACATGATGTTCTCAAAAGCTCCCTCCTGTTCTAAGGCAATGCTTAATTTTTTATTCTTATCAGGTCCTTTTAATCCCAAATAGCAAAGAGAAATTTAAAGTGCATACCAAACGAAACCTTGGGTCTCAGGAAGTTAAGAGAGAAAGGTGCTCAGCTCCACGAATATCAATGCTGTCAAAGATATCAGTGACACAGATGAATGTGTTTTGGGTTACTTCAGGTTGACACTGTCTCATTTTCTTTACAGGTAACCATTGAGGTGGTGGACGACCCCCAGATGGAGGTGGAGATGGACCTGGCCAAGGAAAAAGACTGGCTGCCCTCCTCTTCCTCCTCTTCCTCCTCACCCTCTTCCACAGTGGATTGGCTCGGAGGCAAGAAGCTTTTCTGGCCCCTTTTCTGGAGTTACACCGACGCCGATTCCAGCGAGGACAACAACAGCCGGTCAGGCGTGGAGGAAACTGGCGAGGAAGAGGAGGAGGGGGATTACTCCCAGGATTACGGCAGCGAAGAGCCCTTACCCAGTGGAGTGGGCGGAGACTGGGATACGCGTTGGAACGAAGGCTGGGATCCAATGCAGAGCTACTATGGTAAGGTTTGCCAAGTGGTACACTCGCCGTCTGCTTGCACAGCCACACTGCTATTTTAGATATGACTTCATCACACTGATTATGGCTTTTAAAAAATTACCAAAATGTATCCTGTGGGTTTCACTAAAGACAAAAAATGCAAAAAGGGAAAGTATGGAAATGCAATCAGTGAATTTATCATATTGAAAAGGGGAAAGGGACAGTGGGAACATCTGGAGGGAGAGACAGAGAGGAGCATGGAGAGAGAACAACAGAGCAGCTCAGGAAGGCTGCACGATAACTGTCTTCACAGTCAGAGGGAAACAAACGACGCCAGCATGCAAGGCAGCATGAGCACTCGACCATCGGGACATTGTGGGTTATGGGCACTTTGAAGTCGACACTGGTCGTGCTGGTCGCAGAGGCCTGCCTTTTGAAGATGGGTCCGATGCGCTCGCTAATGGCAGCGTTAGGCCGGCACTGTTCCCTGGGACAAAACAGCCCTCTGCTTGTGGACAATTAGAGGGCAGATTTGGAACACAGAATGACAGGGGCCATTCGGCCGGCCCTTTCATCCTTCCCCGGGACCCCATGGGCCCCCCCAGACCCTGGCGGCCCTCACTGCCCTCTGCGGCACGGCCTTTTGAGCCAGTTCAAGAATTTCGGGGGGCTTTCAGGGCTCTGCATAACTTTTACAGCTCTTTTTCCACTCTTAATTCTGCCGTCCGCTGGTGGGAAAACATGTTGTGTCTCAGCCTGCACAGAACACTGATTCAGTGGTAAAGATAGTAAATAATTAGAGAGAAAGAGAAAGGTGTGTGTAGTGAATGAAAGGGAGAGATAGAAAGAGAGAAAGAAAGAAAAATTTGATGGGCTCGGCCAGTGTGTGTGAGCTCTACTGTAGATCAGAGCGCAGTCGTGGGCTCACCACAGCATGAGGCTTTCATTCTTCAGAGAAACTTCCCATCAATGCAAATATGTGCATGATTGATTTATTTGTTTTTGAAGGTTGTTGTCGCAGCACAGACCTCTTCTGTTGTATTGTATTCTCAGAATGTAAGAGCAGGTGGCTGTTTTTTTGCTCTCTAACCTTTCCGTCATCCATCATGCCAATATATAGATTTTATCCATCGTGCATGCAGCCGAGCCGGCAAAGGGCAACAATGCCTATTAAGTGGTCACATCTAAAGACTCGGTGAACATAAATCAGGGATGTCTGCCTTAGCTTCTTCTGTAATTAAGACTCTCCTGAGACCTCATTCCCGTATGGCCACATGGCGAGCTGGCAGCGCCCACAAAGTAAAATTGGGCGCTCGCTACACCCAAGCTGGTATTTCTGCACCCACCTCGCCTTTAATCAAGAATGACTTGTTTTCAGTGTTATTAACACCACAAGGAAACATGGTGCGGAGGCGGACAGCCACAGCACAGCTTCTCGCTCTCTAATTTTACTGAGGCCTTCTTAAAAAGAATATGGGTTAGCATGGGAAAGATTGGACCAGGGGAAAATGATCATTTATATGGACTGAGACAGGCCAGGATCTCCGAGAGCGTATTCTGGATTAGACTGTTACAGCACACACTCAGGTTTTTCCCTTGTATTCATAATTTTAATCAAACTTTTGAAGCTGTTTCCGAAATACAGAACATGTAGTTATTGTGATCTGTGCCAGAGAGCATGATGTAGAGCTCCTGCAACTGCAAACTTAACTGGGTTCATTGTAACTGTTTTGGCATGTCTTGTAGGGTAATCATGTCTATCTGAACTTAATGTTGCATGTTTGCACTCCAGGTTCCTTCATTTTGAAGTCAGTGAGTTAATGCTGAGATGTCTTAATAGAACAGAATAGAAATAGAGTAGAAAGCCTTTGTTGTCATCGGACAAAGAATATAGAGCGAGATTGGCTGCATCAAGCTGTTGTACATGTAAAAGAAATAGTGGACTGGACTAAAGAGTGTTTCACTAAGAAGCAGTGGATTGCACCTGAAGAGCAATTTAAGTTCATATGTGCACCACAGAGAGCCAAGAGTCACTGCAACTTTGCACGCCGCTGCCATCTTCATCCTTCCTTGTGTCTGTGATCAACAAAAATTTATGAGACTTCAACACATTTAAGATCAAATGAGGTCTGCTGTTAACACAAGCTCAAGAGACTTTCACATTTTGTTTTACAACATAAAACACATCAGTAAATACTAACACAAATTAATTTTTAAGCTTTAACGTGTTTTAAAAGGCAGTTGCTGACAAGTGGCTAAATGAGACAACAGAACGTCATGCGACTGTTGTGTTTTCATTTATAGCCTAATGTTAACTTTGTTAGTTTGTTAGCTTTTAACTTTGTTGTGATGATTGGCTTCAAAAATCATAAAAGTGATTTTCATTTGTGGAGATTAACTTGCTGAGCAAAACATGCAAGTAACTCAGTCTCTCTCCCAGCTCATCAAATGCTGATGCTCGCTCAGTGGCCCTCGGCCCCAGATCAGAGCCACCCTTGGGCAGCAATATGAGACACAGTTTCTGAAACTGTAGGCAACTACCATAGTATAAAGAGCAAGAAAGTCCGCTTTCGGCAGAAGGGGAGGTGAATGGGTCAAACAAACTCTGGTCTTTTACCCAGGAGCCTGCCGTTCATTTCCCATCCATTCATACATCCACTATTGTCGGCTTATCCGAGGCCGGGTCGTAGAGGCAGCAGGCCAAGCAAAGCACTCCAGATGTCCCTCTCCCCAACAATGCTTTCCAGCTCCTCCTGGGGGATCCTGAGGAGTTCTCAGGCCAGATGAAATATGTAATCTCTCCAGCATGTTCTGGGTCTGCCCCGGGGCCTCCTACCAGTTGGACGTGCCCCGAACACTTCTAATGAGAGACTCCCACGAGGATCCTGAATGGATACCTGAACCACGTGAACTGACCCCTTTCGACACGAAGAAGCAGCTCCCTCTGGATGTCCGAGCTCCTCACCCTATCTCTAAGGCTGAGCCCAGACACCTTTCGGAGGAAACTCATTTCGGCCTCTTGTATCCATGATCTCATTCTTTTGGTCACTACCCAGAGCTCATGACCATAGGTGAGGGTTGGGACGTAGATGGACCAGTAAATCAAAAGCTTATGGTGCAGCGCAACGGGAAGGTTCGTTTCCCACGTTAAACCAAATTCGATCAAGTTATTTTAATGACATAGTGTGCTAGTATGTGTAACATGCTACGCTAGCAGTGTATTTCACGTTAGTAACCATTTTACTTATTTTAAGCCATACAGTGATGTTTTTTTCTTTTTCAGTAAACCCAAGAATTTTTTTCACGTACCTTTTAAGTTTATTTTGAAAAACAGAGCAGAATCTGTACATTTCCTGTGAAAACAAAAGTGTATTTTAATACAATGACGCAACGCATGTAACAAGCATAAATTAACACGCCCTCCCTGGGCATCTAGAACTGACGCACGAGGGTATCTGCATCATACTTTGACATGCAGAGCCACTGACTAAACGTCAGTATTTGACAAGTTGGGATGAGAAATGTGTTGAAGTCTCATAAACGTTTGTTCACCACAGAACTTATTTTCTGCAATAATCCAAAATCCAGTGGAAAAATCCCACAGGCTTTTTGACGAGGGAACGAGGGCGATGTTAACCTGGGGTCCTACAAAAAAACGCCATCCTGCAACACTTATATTGTGCTTGCACACACACACATATGTGCGCACCAGGGTTGCAACGGTTTGAGATTTTCATGGTACAATAACCGTCCCGGAATGTATCGCGGTTTCACGTTATCGTGGTATTACAGAATTTATGTTACTATCAGTCAGACTGACCCTTAAAGGAATGAAAATGGAGGGGTTATTTTGGCTGAACAAAATGTTTTATAACCACAATTGAAACTTCAAACCATTTTGTTAATGGAAGTTTTGCCAGTTTAAACCTGTGGTGCTTTTCTTTATTTTTATTGCAAAAAAAAACAGACATTGTTCTATAATCTTAATAGAATCTGATGAATATTTACAGAAGTGCAAAGTGAGTTTTGATTCACGTGAAACGCAGAACAAAAGCTGAGGCCGAGTTTGTGTCACTGACTGTTTGAACTTTTGTCTCCACAGAGAAGGAGACAGATGACTGGACTCCGTGGACTCCCTGCTCTGTGACATGTGGTAACGGTGAGAGGAAGAGGACCAAGTCCTGTGGCTACTCCTGCACTCTGACAGAAGCCTCTAGGTGCGACCTGGAGCCTTGTCCTGGTGAGATTATATTTACTTTTCAGGAAATAAAAAAACAAACCGAGGCCAGAGTGTTTAGATGTTTTTATTCTGCTTCCCAGCTGGTTTTAAATCTAAATAATTCTCTTTGTAGGTGATGTCAACACTGTGGTGGAGCCTTTCCCCTTCGAGATGGAGAATGGTACAGAGCCTTTTGGGACAGGTGAGTGTTGTAATGGGAGGTTAAAGGGACAGTTCACCCCAAAATCAAAGCTAAACATTTTTCCTTAAACCTGTGTGACAATTATCATTCATTATTTTGGTGTGAGTTGTCGAGTGTTGGATAACGGAAGTAGATGGAAGTAGATGGCACTCGGCTCAGACTGTTCTCATGCACTTTATATACATTTTCCTACGAAAAGTACTGAAACAAAATTTGTGTAAAACCCACATATTCTGGAAGGCTGCAATCACGTGATAAATTAGCTGATGGGAGTGCAGAATGAAGCTGGGTTGCTCAAGGTCGGAGGTTAGGGTGGTGGATGGGTCATAAAACAAAGGACTTTCCCCAGGAGACCGATGTTCAGATCTGGGAGAACTCTGAGCAAACTTTGACTAATTTCATGGTACCTCGTCACCATGTTTCTTTTCTAAAATCTAACCACAGTGACTTTACTTACCTAAACCTAACTGTATTTTTCCCATTAAGTACGTAATGTCATTCGTGGAGTGCTAATTCATAGAATATCACATAAACCATTGTATGAGGATACGTTGCTCAGCTTGTGGTGCTCATAGTGCCAAAAAAATGTGAAAGACTCCTCATCAATGTCTCTTTCCAGAAATCATGACCTGGTTACTCAAGATAATCCACAGACCTTGTTGGGAGCAGTTTCATGTAGGAACTATTTTCTTTCTACTGAACTACACCCACCAACCAAATCACTTCACAGAAGGAAGCGTACATCTACCGCTAACTCACCTAGCACCACTGAGCTAGCTAACAATACAGCTTAGCTGAGGAGGTCGCCATTGATGTTTACATCTGTCACGAGCAAAAGCCTCTAGTTTATGAGTAGATGCACACTTCCTTCTGCATGGTGATTAAGTTGGCGGATGTAGTTTGGTAGAGAGAAAATAGTTCCTACATGAAACTGCTCACAACAAGGTCTGTGCATTATCTTGAGTAACCAGGTCATGATTTTTGTAAAGAGACATTGATGTTGAGTTTTTCAAATGTATTTTTTTGGCACTTTGAGCACCACAAGCTGAGCAACATATCCTCAACATATCCTCCTACAACAGTTCCTATGATATCCTACAAATTGGCGATCCACGAGTGACGATACATACTTAATGTAAAGTTATGGTTAGGTTTAGGGAAAGAAACATGTTGATGATGTACCTCAAAATGATTCAAAGTTCACACAGTTCTGAACACCGGTCTTCTGGGTAAAGTCCTCTGTTTTGTGACTCATCCACCACCCAAACCTCCAACCTTAAGGGACCACTTCCTTCTTTACACCTGTCATTTCTGGCACTTTGAGCACCACAAGCCAAATGCCATCTAGTTCCATTATACTGGGGAGAAAGCAGCCGATTTCTCCAACACTTGCCAACTCACCCTAAAACAATCTAGAGTGACAAACAGCGTTACAGATAGGAGGAGAAATATGTGTTTTGGATTTGTGGTGAACTGTCCCTTTAAAGGATCAAACCATCCTGTATATTTAACTGAACGATCCTTAAGTTTAACTTACTGCGATAAAGTGTGACACATGATTTCACGCAGTCTTGCTGTTGTCTCTCCAACAGATGTGGACAGCTGTGAGAAGTGGCTCAACTGTAAGAGTGAGTTCCTCCAGAGGTACCTCCACCAGGTCCTGTCTGAGCTGCCCAGCTGCCCCTGCTCCTACCCCCCTGAGGTGGCGTACACAGTGGTCAGCGTCTACGATGAGAGTCATGGCCGGCAGTTCCGCTGGCGTGATGCCAGCGGTCCCAAGGAGCGCCTGGACATCTACAAGCCTTCAGCTCGTAACTGCATCCGCTCAGCTCTTTCAGGCGACTCCTCTACTCTTGCAGCGCAGCACTGTTGTTACGGTGACCGTGGGCGGCTGATCACGAGGGGAAAAGGCGCGGGCACGCCTAACCTGATCAGCACCGAGTTCTCACCTGAGCTGCACTTCAAAGTGGACGTGCTGCCCTGGATCCTGTGCAAGGGAGACTGGAGTCGCTTCCATGCCGTGCGGCCGCCAAATAACGGATTGAGCTGCCCAGAGAACCCCCACGAAGACGTGTTCATGAATGAACTGGAGGAGGCCAGGGAGTACTGAGGGACCGCAGCCAAAACTACCACTTCACTCAGAGAGTCAGAGGGCCCAATCCTAATTTGAGAGGAGACTGCCTACTTTAAAAGTCATGAAATATTCCATCTTAATGGTGCATCATGCATCAACCGTGCGTGGACTGAGAGGAAGTGCTCATTTGTGATTGGGAGATTCGAGGGGTTTAGGTGTGACGGTGAAGTGTGGCTGTCTCAAGTTAGGATTTGGCACAGTGTCCTGATATCAGGCTCAACGGAACTGAACTGAATAACAAGAATGGAAAAAAATGCAGTGTTCTCCCATCGCTTGCCAACCTGTTCCACATCTGGCATAACATCAAGCTCTCTGTCTTTATATTCAGTCCACTCTCCTGGGTGCGTGTAAGCATGATGTCAACCTACTGGCTTTTTTTGACGGTGTCCTGGAGCGCTTGTGATTGACATTAGCAACATATGGTAAACATCCTGTTTGTGCTTCTTGTAGGTTTTATTATGTATGAATGTGGGCTGGTTTTATTGATGAAACAAACACGTGCATGGGAAGTGCAACAGATGAATATCCCATCTATGCTGCTACAATATAAAATCCTTCAGGTATTCAGGGGGGACAAGACAACAGGACATCAGTAAACCCAAAAGATGCCACATGCATTCACAGTAATGTACATTCAGCCAGTCTTTTGGGAAACTAAAATTAGTAACGTTAGGAGAATTTGGGACCTCAACCAGAGAGGTAAGCTAAACAGATTTGAAACGTTCTGCTGTCGCTAGTGAGAATTACGAGAGTAGCCCATTAGCAGTACTGTTACGGGAATGGCACATTTGATTTCAAATGTTTTGTCACACAGATTGATCTCATGTGTTTCCTCACATTTCCACAGCCAGGACGATGTGTGATCTGGGTGCCAAAGAGTTAAAAATCAGACTGTTGGTGCCTGTGTAAATCCAGCCTCCTAAGTCTCTACGGTGCAAATGTAGGAAAGTAAATAAATAAATTCTGCAGTGACTAGATTGTGCTCATAGATCTCTACGATGTTCTCAGGGGGATTAACTGACCATGATAAAACAAATTTGTTCTTTTACCTCGACAGCGGAGCACTATTGGGACTAGTTCAAAGTGTTTTGGGGTAAAGATTAGCAGGAGGGAATCGGATCCAGAAAGTAACTGACGAACACATGATGCTTTTTGTGCAGTTTCAGAAAGCAGTTGCAACCCTTATAACTGAAGAGATGTCGATGCATTGTGTGTGGTAGGAAGATGTCATTGCTGCTTAAGCTGTTGGCATAGGGTCTTTGGGTTTATGTACAGAACTGGACTGGACAGAAAGGACGTTCCTGAGAAGTCGTGTAGTCTGAGCCTTTACCCTAGGTAACATAGAGTTCAGGTAAAGGCGACATGAGAGTAGTCACCATTAGCTGATACTCCATAAGGTGTAGTGCAAAGTATGGAAACAAAAGTCATGTTAACCGAATATTTTTTGTTACCGTTATTTTGCCAGATCAAAATGCTTTAGGTGATTCAACATAACTAAGTAATTCACACCCGCCCAGCTAGTGACTTGCATATTAATTAGCTATTGTCTCTTCTTGACTCTGATGTCACATGCAGGACTTCATTGTCTAGCTGGCTTTAGCACTGGTTGACTATATTGCTACAAACCATCCCAAAATGTCATCTCAGAGTGCTTTCACACCTGCCCTGTTTGGTGCGTTTCAATCGAACTCAAGTTCATTTACCCCCTAAGTGCGGTTCGTTCTACAAAAAGAAAATCAAACATGCTAGACTTTATGTTGGAACGTCGTGAGGCATCCCAGACGTGGCGTCGGTTGTCATCTACTATGACACACTACACGAGATGAAACGATGGATTATGGCGTACAACACTTGTTGTCGTTCACGATTCATGCCGTCGCTGTGTTGGGTTATAATCGGGCTGATATGGTGTAGTGTGTACCCGGCATAACCCTAACCAATCTCACTCCTGTTGCCTAAAGGCTCATTTATGCTCCCCTTACATACGAAAAAGTATACGTCCGTTTCAAACGATGTTACCGTCACTGCCAACATTCTTCCATGCGTCCTTTACGTTGGCATGGATGTTAAGCAATATATCCACCAGGGGGCAGCCCAGAGTCAAAAGTTTATGACAACAACAAACTCAAAAACAAACATGGTTACTGTGGATGAGATATTGATAATGTACCTCTTGCATAAAAGACAAAAACAGAGGCAGCGTTGTAGGTGGCGGTGGTCGGTGAGGCCGTTAAATACATCGCGACTGGAGAACGGAGAATTCTTTTCTCGCACAACCTTTCCTCAAAAAGTTCCGCCATTGTTATTTCTTCTTCGTGTCTCACTAGAGCTACGTATTGGGTAGTGACAGCAACACTGCCCCCACGGTTTCCGGTGGTACTGCTCCGTTTGGCCCGTATCCGTAAGCTTTATGGAAACGTGCAGAAATACGGACAATTATTTGAAATTATTTGAATTAATTATTATTTAACGTTGAGGATAAATTAGCCATAAATCAAACCGCCAATCAGTGGAAGAGCAGGGCCAGTCATACATTTGCCTTCCAAGGAAAAAAAATTTGGCTGCATTATGCTAATTTTTTTCCTAGGATGGCAAAGACATGACCCACCCTACTCTTCTCTGAGTGGCTGTGGTCGTTGCTTTCGTTTGTTGGATTGGCTAGGGTTAGACAACAGGAGTGAGACTGATCAGGGTTAGTGTAGGAATTTTAGAGTAAGCCTATCAGAGGCAGAGTTGGGCGGGTCATGCCTTCGCTATCCTTGGAAAAAAAAACAACAACTAACAAATAGCACTACACCCCATATCAGATATGAGCAAAAAACCCAATATGCATCTCTAGTAAAATAGATTATGATGGAATTTTTACGATCTTGTTTGTCAAAATGACGGATAACGAGATCGTCTCATTTGACCTCTGGATTTAAAAGGCTCCTGTTGAACCATAGTCACAATAGTTTTTAGCACCGCAGCAGCCGCTTTGTTAAAACTCTGCTCCTCACTGAAAACACAGAGGCAGTCATCTTCAAACGAACTTTGGGAGCCATCCTTTCTGTCCAGTCGAACTCTGTGGATGTTGGCTCCAAACCTTTTTTCAGGAATTCTGCTTCCAGATGTGTTCGTGCAAACACGCATTAACATGTTGGAATCACCGATTTTAAAGGAAGGCACTTTATTTAAGGTATATATATTATATATATACAAAAGAATATATCAAAATGTACTCATGTTTGCCATTTGTTGATGATAGTGTTATTGTGAAGGGAAACTCGCCAGAAATGCTGCATTGTTCTATGAAAGTGCATATATCAAGTGTTCTGTTGAGGAAAGCATGATCTTTTGTGATTTCTGAATCTAGTATTACATATATGGTGTTGTACAGTATTTATTTGTCTGTTCTCTTTTTTTTAAAGTTTGCTTTGAGATGTCTCTATACTCAACATGGTGCACTAATCTGACTGAGAAATGAAGGCACCCGTTATCAAAAGGGAAACCACTCGCCTCGTATCACTTCATACAGCGACATCAAGTGTTTCATTCTACTTTGTACTGCAGTGCTCTATGAATATGTTGTTGCAATTATGCTGAAGAAATATATAAAGAACTTGCATTCATCATCTGACTTCTTCATGTGTCGTTGATTTTTCCACACTTTACACACTGTGTAGCGGAGCCAAGCATAGCATCGTACGGCAGAGCTGAATTCCTTCAGACTCAACCGAGCTGTTATACTCCTTATTGACTGACATACCAGACTTTTCCGTACCTTTCCCCTCCAACAGAACAGGTACAGTAGGCCAGGCATTCCTGTAAAGTGCAAACGTCCTTCGGGCTCAATATGTAGCCGGCCAACAAGAGATGCTGTACCAGAAATAATCTGTGCAGGCTTCTCTTTTAAATAACCACAAATGTTTGAAACTTCTTTCGTATCAGGATATCAGCAAGGAAAAGTTTTATACTAAACATATCATCTGACATTTTGGGAAATAGTTAGCTTTCTTGCCGAGAGTTAAACCTACCATACACTAAAATAATGTAAAAACACTTTTAAAAGACTAAAGTCTGAAGATAATGTTACACTGTGCAAAAAAATTAAGGGAACACTTAATCATCACAGTCTAACACCAAGTCAGTTAAACTTCAGGGATATCAATCTGTCCATTTAGGAAGCACAAGTGACTTGAATCAGTTTCAGCTGCTTTGGTGCAAATCAAAGTGACAACAGGTGCAATGGAGAGGCAAAAGCAAGACAACACCCAAAGAGGGAATGGTTTCACATGTGGTGTCCACAGACAGTTGCTCTCGCCTTATCCTTCCTGACTGAGTCTTCTCTAGTTTGGTCTTCTGCTAGTGTCCTTGTCACTACTGGTAGCATGACGCGGTACCTGCAGCCCAATCAGGTTGCACAGGTAGTCCAGCTCCTCCAGGATGGCACATCCATATGTGAAGGTTTGCTGTGTCTGCCAGCACAGTCTCAAGAGCATGGAGGAGATACCAGGACACTGGCTGTTACATGAGGAGAGCTGGACAGGGCCGTAGAAGAGCATCAACCCAGCAGCAGGACCGGTATCTGCTCCTTTGTGTGAGGAGGAACAGGAGGAGCACTGCCAGAGCCCTACAACATGACCTCCAGCAGGCTACTGGTGTGCATGTTTCTGACCACACTGTCAGAAACAGACTCCATGAGGATGGCATGACAGCCTGACGTCCTCTAGTGGGACCTGTGCTCACAGCCCAGCACCGTGCAGCTCGTGACTGGTATTCATGGACGCATTACAATGCCTACAGATCCTACAGTTTCCCCCCATGTTAACACTGTTTGCTCTGTTAGCACTGTTAGCTGCTAGTCACCGGATCAGCCTTCTCCATGTTGAGAGCTGTGTGCAGACAATCCCTGCTCAGACTCTGAATCACACATACCCTCTGAGTGTCACACACAGCTCCTTTAACGGTCGACACAGTCAGACCGTCAGAAGAAGGTTCCAGAATTCGGCGGTGAGCATCGTCTCCAAACAGCTGAGCTGGTGGAAGCTGTGATGCTAAATTGTTTAATAATCCATAAATGCCATTTGTGGTTTTGTGTGTTAGCCTCTGCCTTGATGAGAAGTAATGTGCAGCATGTGGCTCTAATTACTCATTGACATTACCTTTTCCACATTCTACAGATCCTGAACACAGCGATGACAGGATTCAATTAGGCATCACGCATGAGTTCTCCTGGCAGCACGTGTTCGCAGTGAGTCTGAACCAGCAGCATCAAACGTCTCCTCAGTTTACTCTGTTTTATCGTCTGTGTGTTCTCAGTCTAACATCAGTTTTATTTACAAGTGGAGTTCACGTCTAGGAGTCAGAAGTCCTACTAACATTTCCTGTCAGACTTCTAAACAATCAACCGCAGCCTTTTTTAAACCGTGGCATGCTTCAGGATTTTACAAATATGTTGTGGGAACACTTCTGGTGATTCACAGGAGTGACACATTTCACTTGGTTATATTTTTAAGTTGTGGTTTTGGCCCCAAGTTTCAAAGTCCGAGCAAGAGCAAGAGGGACGGCAGTGTTGGGTAGAAGTTACTGTAAAATCAAGTTCCAGAAAAGACAAGCTCAAAATCATACAAACAGTTCGACTCACCCAGGTATAAACAGTCCTGCTAATACATAAAGGCAGCGTCTTAAAGGGGTAGTTCATATTTTTTGAAGTGGAGCTGTATGGGGTACTTATCCATAGTCAGTGTATTACATACTGTAGATGCTCCGCTTTACCTTAATGTCAGACAGCTTCCAGACTCCATTGAGAAAAACCTCGCTGAACACACGTGCTGCTGGTCTACTTCGATCAGTTAGTTGTGACTGGTGAATCCTAACTAACCTTTTCAAATGCCAAAGCAGAGCTCACACAGGCTCCAGTCCCTCACATGAAGCTGGGCTCTACATTCTTGAATTCCAAATCCAGCGGAGGAGACGTCTCTTTCACTGGATGGCGAAAACGTTCAATCACTGCCAGGTTAGGAAACATTTTAGCATGCTCCGTCCACCACCATCAAACGTCCAAAGGATCCTCCTTGGGTGTCTTGAACTCCATGCAGGCTGCCACCTCATCCTCGGGCTGCAAAGTTTCACAGCTGGAGTCCTCCATGTCAGTGACCAATGTGACCACGGGGTCGAAGGCAGAGCTGAAGGTGTAGCCTACGCCATTGTGACCATTTATACCTGTGCGATGGTGTGTCTGTGTCACTCGGCAGTTACACCTCCAAAACACTAGTTGGCGGCGGGGTTTCTGTGAAGTTGATTCAAAACACACATTAAACACACGTTAAACATGGCTTAATAGAGACGATTTCAAACACAAGAACACAAATCAGCTTCACTATAACTCGCAGCATTCACAGACAAACAACTGTCTTTATCCGGGCACATTTTCCCCACAAATACAACATGCTAATGTTATTAGCACAAGCCTATGGCATTTTGCATTGTATAAATTAGCTTAGCGGCTAGCGGACATTTCCTCTACTCATTTGAAGCCAGGGACAACAGCAACATTTAACAAAGGTAATGTTACAAAATTCAGCTCCATTACAACTCACAAGGTTCACTGACAAAACAACTGTCTTATACTAAACACGTTTTCCAAACAAACACAACATGCTAACATTATTAGCACAAGCCTATGGCATTTTACATTGTATAAATTAGCCAAGCGACTAGTGGAGATTTCCTCTGCTCATATGAAGCCAGGATAAATCACACACAGGACTTAAAATGCTATTTTTTTTGTAGGCTTTATTTTCTTCACAATTTATTGTTTCTTATCTGTGAAATTAAAGTAAAGCAGTAAAAATATTCCAAATGTAGCGTACACTTAAATCGTTACTGATTTTTTTTGGGGTGGGACTTTTCTAGGTGGCTAAAACATGTTTCACTGCTGACCCTTCCGCATCAGCAGATTGATTAGCTCTCATGTCCAGTCTGTTTCTCCAAACTGGGGGCGTACCGAGTGACATCTAC